GATTTGACTCTAGGTTTTTCACTTGAGGTTGTGTGGCCTAGTGGACAGATCCTTGAACAGACTTAGGTACTCCAAGATCTGCTACTATCCTTTTGGCTGACCTTGGGCTACTCAGTTCACCTTGTGCCTCAGCTTTCCAACCTGCAAAATGGAGCCAATGCTACCAGACTCCTTTCTAAGATGTCTTAAGAGCAAATGAAACATTAGGTATCAATACAAAATGGAATTAAACACTTTGTCCCCTGCTTTACTCATCACATCCCAACAGCTTCATATTGATAATACACTAGATACCTCCTCCAAAGCACCTACCAATGTTCAACATGAATGATCTGCATGGGCAAAGGTTTATCATCAAACAGCACTGCCTGATTGATGGCATTATTTTAATTCTCTGCTACAACAGCTGGATCCAAGTTCCTAACAGAGGAAAGGTTAACTGGAAATGGCCCTTGCAAACCATGCAGAGGTGCCCTGGCTGCAAGCCTCATCTCTGATCTCAAGCAGGCCTCACAGTTTGGCCTGGGACCATTCTTCATGCACTTCATTGGAAGGACAGAACTCTGCCATGTGGCTCATTAGGATGAGAGAGTTTCCAGCTCTCTGAAGCCCCTTCCATCCCCGAAGGGGAAAGTATCTCTTATTGAGGGCAAACTCAAATTTCCAGTATAATAAAGAGTTGTTTATTCATTGCAGCTGGAGAAAATACCAGCTGTAACCACTAGAGATGCACTGATACATTGGTCCGGTATCTGATCAGCACCGATATAAAGAAAATTGACTGTATTGGAAATCAGCCTGGTGTGGCTAATACATGGCTCATGCATATGCACAGCCACAACACAGCATGTATGCGGTGAGGAGCACAGCCCGGCAACTTGGAGAGCTGCGTCCACCTGGTAAGTATGTTGTGGTGGAAGGGGAGGGAAGGAGTGTGAGGGGGTAGATCAAGGTCCCCCACAGTGAGGTAGGGAGTGAGGCTGGGGCAGGGCACATGCAGCACAAAGCCATAGCTCGTCCCACAGCTGCGCACATCCTGGGAGAGCACAGGGGAGGGGGATGTCCCCAGATCTGGGCAGGGCAGGCTGCAGCTGTAGGGCTGGGGTCAGGGTTGTGCTAGGCTCTTCCTGGCGGGGGCTGGGCTGGGCTGGGCTGTGCTCAGCTCAGCTCAGGTGGCAGCATTGCTGGAGCTACAGTGAATTTTTGGTTGGCTGCTGCAGCTTTCCCCCATAGCTCCCCACCCAGCACCATTGCTGCCTGCCCCGAGTGCAGCCCAGGCCCCCCCCATGGTGCATGCAGCGGCAGGGGCCACAGCCCCTGGATGAGCCACTTGTGGCTGTCCCACACCCCGCCCTGCCCTGCCTGTGCAGCACCTGCCCCAGCCCCACTGTCTCCCTTGTCGCAGGGGCCTCAATCTGCTGCCCCCCCAACCCTTTCTTTCTCCCACAACAGACTTACCAGTCAGACACTGTTCTTCAAGTTGCCAGGTTGCGTATTGGAAATTGGATCAGTATTGGCCAATAGCTGTTTGTTTGTTTGTTTTTAAAGGAGGCATAACAGTATCAACCCAAACAATCTACCAGTGCACCCCTAGTAAGCATGAAACTAAATATTGTGCTTTGTAGGCCAAGTGGGTATTAGTGAGAAGGACTGTGCTCGTTCCATCCCCAGAACACACCCTGCTTGCATATTTTCATCAACAACTAAATATTTTGCTAATGGCCTTCTCCTTCTGTCCCTTTCTTAATGTATGTTAGCTTAGGTATGTTGTCATCTCTCAAGCAAGAAAACTAGGTCCAGTTCCCTTCTCTGCCACAGGCTGCTGGTGTGACCTTCAGCAAGTCACTTAGCCTCTCCGGTCTGCATTTGTAAAATGGGAATAATCACACACACACTATTATTTCTCCCAGGAGAAATACTTTAAATACTGTGAACAGTGAGCAGCTACCATAGGTAGACAGAGCAAAAAAAAAAAAAAAAATCTAACTAGGCATTAAAATCCATACAATTTGAAAAGAACAGTAATGTAATAAGGCTGGCTGCTTGCCTCAAGATACAAGATTTCTATTAAAAGATGCTTCTACGTTTGCCTTCAAATAAAGTGCTCAATGCAGGGAGGAGCAGGAACATCACCAGGTGACCCACAGGGCCAGGCAAACCAGGGCAAGTTGTGAACTGAAGATGCTCACAACAGACAAGGGGTAGTGAAGAGTGGCTCATGCAAGATTTTTTTAAGTGCAGTGGCAAAGGCTGACAGCTCCCTCTTTATGCCACATCCTCAACCCCTTACAACACCTTCAGTAGCAGGGTGCCAGTGCAAGAGCAGGTCCTACCAGCACTGCACTGCTGTTAAACTCTGCCTGCCCATGGGGAAATTTTCCAGGGGGGCCACTATAAATCTACTTGGTGCCACCTGACTTGGCAGACTAAACCATCTAGCCTAGAGCCAGGCAGTGTAAGACAAACAAGATCCAGAAAACCATGATCAAATCATGGACAAGCAACAATTGTAGAAGTGTTCTTTACTCAACTTTATTTGAACCCCCCCTGCCCCATTTCTGGCTCAAAGCCATTGCCATTGGTCTACTCTGTTCCAGCTCCCTGGCTCTTGTTAGGTTGTTCCATGCCCAAAGGCCACTTAAGAGTCAAAGTTCTTTTAAAAATGCTACATTGGAGGGGCTGTTCTCAGCACCAGGGAGTGTAGCTCATTTAGCGCATTAGACATCTGCTTATGTATCAGACTGGGACAAGATGACTAGAGGCATGAAGAGTCCAGTCCTTATTTGCATGAGACCCTGCTTCTGAGCTGGGTTAGCCTCTTTTCTCTCCTCTTACCTGCAATCTTCAGTTCCTTGCTTCCTTCTCTATGCCCTTTCTACACCTTACACAGTTGACCTCTTTCTACTTGCTTCACATGACTGAGTTTGATGCATTTGCACTGCAGCAAGTAGAGAAGTGCCTCTGTACACACAGAAGTCAGCAGAGGAGGTTCTTTCTTGGTACAGGGGACCATTGCTGGCTATCCACCAGCTGGAGTAGGATAGTAACTGAAATTAGCACATTCCCTCACATCATACTCACACCAACCTATAGCTTGGCAGGACCTTGTACTATAGAACCAGAACCTGTCTGGCCCAATCAAGTACTCTAGGGCTACTCCAGCAAAAAACTCATCAGCTCCAAGGGCTGAAGCTTACCTATTTCATCTAATATGCTGCTGAATTAGGGTTGCCAACCCTCCTGGATTGGCTGGGAGTCTACCGGAATTAGCATTAATCTCCCGGTGACTACTGAAAGCAATCCAGGAGACTGATATTGTGGATGGGTTGAACAGTACGATGAATGACATTACGTCATGTTGGGAAAGAAAACCTCTTGGGATGGCTTCGGTCAGAGTTGGCAACCCTATGCTGATCCAGAAAACCTTCCTATTCATCTCACACCGACCTTCCCCTCATTGGTTCCCCAGCAAAGGAAACCCCCAAGGCGTGTTGCAATCATAGTTAAGTTACAGCTTCTTCTCCTTTCATTACTTTGCCTGTTCCCTTCTCTTTTCTCTTACCAATCCCATACTGCAGAGGCCTGTCTGAGCCTAGTGGCCCGTTAGGCGAGTGTGGTTAAAGCATGTCTCTGCAGTGAGACAGCTTAACCATCCTGCCTTTCCTCCCTGGTTCCCCCTCCCCTCCTGCCAGTAATAACAAGTAATAATTACAGTTCTGTTATGCACACACTTCTATAGCACTCCTCCCATTATGAAACCACTGGCAGCGATTCCACTGGTCAAGATGAAATCTTGTTTGTCCTTAAACCATTCATTCAGCTTAGTTTTTTTTAATGAAGAATATAGCATCTGCTCCTCAAACTTGCAGCACTTCCTCCATAGGCATGGAATGAAAATTTACAAATTGATTCAAAGGGAGCTACAAAGATCAAGAAAATTAACAATTCCAGGATCCAAGTAGTTCTCTGCTGCCCAAGAACCTTTCCCCACTCAAAACTGCCCCCTTCCACTTTTGACACTTTCAATGCAAAAACAAAATAAAGAGAGGACAGTACACTATGTAGTATTGCCTAAATGTTTCTAACACCAAGATACTTTGGCTGTGCCTTGAATTTTTCTGGGACACGGGCAGCAATAAGTGACAAGTTGGGGACAACATCATCCTCTGTGCTCCCCATCAACCTCAGCCTTTTTATTTCCCTATCACCATTGGAGGGGTGTGCAGGTAACACTGTCTGCAAGGCACATGCTGGGGACCACTGCCCTAGGAGATGCAGCATGGAACTTGCTGGTGCAGTAGACTAAAGAGGCTTTAAAACTAGTGCCGCGTGAAGCTTTGGGTGCCGATTTGATTTGGAGGAGATTCGGCCCAATTTGGCAGCCAAATCTCCGAATCCAAAATCAAATCAGGGGACTAATTAAAAGGTCCAAATCAATTTGAAACTCTTCAAATCAATTTGGAAAAGATTTGGAGAGCTTTGGCGATTCAGACAGTCCTCGCCCACTGCAGCACGGAGCTGGACCCTGACTTGGAGCTGTTAAGTAGGGGGCAGAGACCACAGGGAGGATCCATGCCAGGCCCCATCCCTTGCCTGCTCCCCTAGCCCCCCATGCAATGCGGGGCAATGAGGGACAACCCCCCTCCCTGCCAGGCAGAAACCAGTGAGGGGGGGGTTCTTTAAAGGGCCAGAGCTGGGGCAGGCCAGGCAGCCATGGGGAGGGAGAGGGGTTAGGTTTAGAGCCCTCCATGCAGTGTGGGGTAGATGATATTACCCCCTTCCCAGCAGCACCCAGTGATTCAGGGCTTTTTTTTTTTCTTCTTCTCCAAAGTGCCCGGAGCTGGGGCAGGCAGGGCAGCCATTGCCGCCTGGGAGAGCAGACGGGATGGGCCTGGCCGAATCAATTCGGGACAGTGATTCAAATCAGCGAATCGAATCACTGTCCCCCAAATCAGTCGAATCTGAATCCAAAGCGAATACTAGCCACTTTGCACAGGCCTATTTAAAATCTCCTTTACTTCCACTCAGTCTTGGGCTGCTCCAAGTGCTTGAGTGGCCTTTGGTATAAGTTAAACACACCTGGAGGCAGGCAGACCTTATGGCAGCTGGTCCCCAGAGGTCTGTGAGCAACAGCTTTATTAAGAACCTCTGCACTGATGCAAAATGTGGTCCTGCTGTGTCCTCAGCATACATCTTATAGCTTTATTGCCGTCTTCCTTAGTGCCTGCACTAGGGGAATAGTCTCTCAGCTGAAACTAAAGCTTTTGTTTCCATATTTACAAATACAAATGTGTATGGTCCAAATAAACTCACAAAAGCCTCCATAGCATGGAGCAAAATGATGTCAACGGTAAATTCTTTGGGGGCAGATGCTGTCTTTTTCTTCTCTGTAGTTTGGTAGCATGTTGCCCATGGCCGAGGCATCTCGCTGCTGGATGCTGTACAGATAGAAGAAAGAGACAAATTGTTCCAACTCCTCTGCATAAAATATTCTGCTGCTGCCTCAGCCAGCGCCTCATGCAGAGACAACTTGTAGAACAGACACATACTTATAGTCCCAGAGCCTACATTCTTTTCTAAGTCTTTACCAACACACACTACTACGCATTTACCTGGAATATGCCCTCATCTGAACTCAAGATAAAAAAAATGCTCCTTGGGAGAGTCTGCACATAAAATTAATCCGACACAACAAACTCCGGATCTCAGTCTTGCTAGTCTAGAGCTGCTCCAACCCAACTCAAGGTGCTTTTGAGAGCCTGGCTAGTGGCTAGGGCACAAGGGTGCTTCACTGCAGGGCTAGCCATCAGGCAGACCCCATACTGAAGCGCTTTTGTGCTCTAGCTAATTCTATCAGCGTTTACATGTGGTGCAGGGGTGTAAATAACTTGTGTTAGGCAGTACTTTCCTATAGGGACTTAATTAGTTTACTCCAGCCTAATAGCACCTCATGTGTAGACAATGATTCTTTGGGGGGGGGGCACTAATTTACTTGCACAGGCATGCCCCTTATGTCCCAGCACTGTAAGCGCCATGGTATTATCAGCCTCAGAACTGACTAGCTTCCCTCATTTTCAAAGCTTTTAATAGCTTTTATAGTAGCTTCTCCTTTGCTTTGTCTGAAGCAGAATACAATTAGTTGCAAAGCAGACATTATGGCTACTAAGCAGTTAACTAGGATATGACATAAGTTACAAAGCAGACAGCAGGGCTGAAAGATGCTATGCACTGAAGCAATTTGTGCCTTTCACTGATATCCACATAACCAATGTTTGGTACAACGATAGCTGCAGCCAATAAATGGATTGGCAGGGTTACGCAGTTAAGCAAATTATGCACTTATCTGGTATGCATGGACATGGAGTACACAGCACAACTACTGTCAGCAGTGTGCACCCACCAATGTTTTTAAATGACAGTAATACAAGGGGGATGCATTTCGGTTGGGTGCATAGCCTCTCCCAAAGGCTGATAACCAGTGGTGACGGATTGCAGGGCAGTAGGTTTACATCCCTTGGTCAGCAAGTTTAAGTATGGTTTAATCAAAATGTTGGGCATGCATAAAAGCTAACTATGGAAGATTCAGCCAGGTCTCATTCAGTTTCTGCAATAGAAATGTAATAGCTGCAAAGGCTCACTTAGCTGCAAACTGAGTGGGCAGCAAAAAGTTTGCAGAGAGTGCAATAGCTTTTCCAGGCAGGACAGTATGCTATGCACAGTGCATGCTTTTTATTTGAACTGTGACCAGAGCCCCCATTGCAAACTGAGGGCTCTGATTGGCTGCTACTGAGCCATAAATGAGCTGAGGGAGGGAAGAGAGGAATAGAGAAGCTGGAGAAGAGCAATGCTGGCCTGGAATGAGGGGCAGACTCAACCCCCTCCTTCTCTGCCTCAGGCAGCAGGGAATGGCACAGAGACTTGCTGGGGAGCAGATGTCAAGAGGGAAGAGCGCCTGAGTCATTCCAAGTGAGGCTGATTCACCACCCAGGCCAGAGCTGTGCAATCAAATCAGAGACATGGGTACCCAGGGAAAGA